CCTACACTGCTCTAGCTTCAGGTTCAGCTATTCTCTCATTTCAGGAATCAGTGCACTGAGAAAGAAGCATATGCCATGGGATGCTCTTCTGGGTTTTTCTGAAGATCACATTCAAAATCACAGCAATAGGAATGGGCTTAACATTGATCCCAGGTGTAGCCCTATAATTACTTGGAAGAAATTTATGTTTCCCACAAGGATCTTGACACAGGACTTTGCTCGCGTGTATATGTCTTGAAGCGCCCTCATGTATATCTACAACTCCCCTCTAACCTCCAAACTCCTCCAAATAACTTCACATGGTACACTGCTATAAGCATTCTCCACGTTTTAAGCATCATGTGCAAGTCTTGCTAGTCGCTATGCTCCCTATATTTTTCCATGAGACATACGTAGTATGACAAGGTGCAGTCTAAGTAGATAAATTGCTACTCAGTGGCAACTCGGTCAAGGGCGAAGTAGAGAGCAGGACCGATACTCAGAATTACTCGGTGATTACTAATTAACATGGTCTATTAATTATCTTTTGGGCTTTGGCCCGGACTACTAATTAACCAGTGAGCCCACCCATAATATAAATAAAAAACCCCGTATAAGTTATAACCCAAGTAAATAGAGAGCTAATATTAAAGCAGAGCCATAGAAGTTGCGCAGGTGTTTTTTTAAACCCGGTAGGTAAACCACCCATCAGTGAGGTAAATGTTGGGGAACATTTATCACATTTTATTAGTTAAAAGAATGTACAAAATTAGAGGGGGGCTAGACCAGAAGCGCGCAAGTATAAAAATACAACTTCATTAAAGAAGATAAATTTCCAAACAATCTTTAGTTTTGAGTTCTGAAAAAACTTCAAAAAAACTATAAAACGAATTTCAAAACACTTTGTATCTGCTTGCCCTGCAAGTAGATTTTTTGTCACTTTTAGTCCTCCGACTATTCTGTCACGGACATTTTTGGTACTCGACTTTTATTTTTTCCACTTTTAGTCCTTCAACTACGGTGCTAAAGACACTTTTGATACCCGTCTTTGAAAATTTCAATATATAGTCCTTTGATTTTCATAAAAGTGACACTTTCGGTCCTTCAACTATTATAATAGTGACACTTTTAGTCCTCCACTTATTGTGTTAAAATCCTAGTGGAAGGACTAAAAATATCAATATGATAATACTCAGGGGAATAAATGTGGAAAACTTTGAAGTCGAGGACTAACAGTGTCTCTCGCTATTGGGGACTAAAAATGGAAAAATTGAAAGTCGAGTACCAAAAATGTCACTAACACAATAGTCAGGGGACCAAAGCGGCAAAAACTCCCTGCAAGTATATTAACTCAATGTTGCATAAAACATAAAATGTAGAATGTGGTTACCTTTGGACATTAAGTTATTTTTGGAACTAAATTTAAACTATTTTCACTTCACATATTTTGGTAAGAATGTGGTTATTCATTTTTTTGCTCATTTTTTGTTGTTGAATAACAGATTTATAGTGTCAACATATTATATTTTCAGTATTTATTTTTTGTGTCGTGTGGTGACGCCATAAATGCGTCATCGCCATACGCCATGACAACTATGCATATAATCATTCATACGTAAAAATGAGTAATAAATACTACGTATGTGTTAGTAGACCAATATCATAAGTTTAACTCTTTGAGGGAAAGTGAATTAGATTTACTTTCCTCAATAAAATTAGAAAAAGTTGTTAAAATGGGAAAGGACGAGAATAAATAGCTGGACCATGAAGATTTTGATATTCAGGAGCAATTTGAATAAGAATAAAAGATTAGCCTTTTGCTATGTGAATTATACATTTAGCATTGCAATACATTGCTCTCGTCCTAGCCCTTTCCTCCTCTTCACGGAAAGTCAAATGCCCTTCAAAACTGTATCTGTATTTAGCCTTAATATTCACTTCTACCTTTTACTTTCAGTTCTCACCACCAAGGTTCCTTATGGCCCCTAAATCTCCTGAAGCCATCCCTATTCCCAATGTTTTTTTGGCAAAATAATAGTGTTGCCCATGACATACACCGTGTGAGATAAACTACAATAGCCTATCAAACAAAGCAAAGCCTAGACTTTTTAACATTCAAGGAAAGCTTCAATGCAAAGTCAACATCAATAGTGAAGAAGCAGCCATTTTCACCTCAATGATTGTTCTACTAGTTTCAGCAGGTGTAAGTCGAGCTTCACCGCCCTCCATCAATTCCGGCTCCACAATGTCCTCGGACGGATGATATCTCATTGGCTTTGAGCTCTGCTTCAACTGCTCCGATCCCTTAGAGCTGAATTGCTCCTTAGCGGAAGCCCTAATGACTCTATTGTCCCTCCCGTACCTCTTCCCGCAATAAGTTTCCCTCAACCCCGCAACTGCTCTCCTGCGAAAAAAACAATAAACAAATCTTCTTTAAGATTCTGAGCCAAAATTAGAGTAATTGCATCAGCACCAGCTCGTACCGTGGAATAAATAATCCACAACAATGTGAGAGCGGGCGGTTGAAGTTCCGCGATGGAATTTGGACGGCGACAGCTGCAGAAGATTCTAACATCACCATTTTACTGGGTTTTTTCTGTGAGTTCTTGACTTGACTGTGCAGGATTGAAATTAAACCTGGGCAAAGAACGAATTTAAGACAAATTTCGATATTTTGACACGCCCTTTTACTTTGAAAAATTACACTGTACAGCCGCGTCTACGTGTACACGGGATAATTTTGTAATTCTAAACAATTTTGAGGCGTTTTATAATATAATAGTAACTTTTACTAGTTTTCAAGCCCGTGCGATGTATATGCAGTACGTAATTTAGCTAATTTTAGACTGAGTTTATTTAGCTAATTTTAAATTTGATTTTTTCAAAATCATATACTACGTATAATGTGATGCAAAAGCAAAATAAACTCAGTCTAAATAGAGTCCATTTGATAATACTAAAATGAGACGAATCACCTTATTTTGCTAAAATATATTAAATTCTGGCTGAATGGTTGAATGGACGGAATCTCGTGAATCATGAAGAAAAAAATTAAAATGTATTCCAATTGTAGAATAAAAAAAATATATTTGAAAAATAATTAAAATGATCTTCTACATAAGCATCTCAACTAAAAATAGTTGTTGTCAATCGGATTTTAAAGAATTCAGTAATTCAAAAAGAAACTCCTTAATTAATCTCACATCCTCTAAATTACTTTATTATGCATCTAAAAACATTTTATTTAATATTCCTCATTCATCCAGGTATAAAATATGGAGTACATACTATACTTTTAACTTTTAAAAGTAAAATCTTACATTTGACTCACTATTTTGTCACATTAAAAATGTAAAAATGGTGTTTTTTACATTTAATTGATTATTTCGTCACACTGAAAATGTCATTAATAAGGACGTTTTTAATTGAATTAAAATTTTTGAGTTTGATTTGGTTTAACTAATATGGTGTGTTAGATGTTTGTTTTACATTTTATGTGTCCTATCATCATCATCATCAAAGTTTGATTTGAACTAATCTAGTTTGGGACTGAAATCAATCCACTTAAAAATATCCTAAAAGTATTGAATAAAATTAGGAATTTGCAAACATATAAATATTTCCTAATTTGGATTAGAAATCTATTTCAAAAGTGAAGGCATATTTAAATTGTAGTTGTAAAAATAAAGAAACAACCAAACATATTTACGTTTTTGGCTAGGCTACACGTATTTACTTGTGTATATATATAAAATACATGTGCGCACGCGCACACAAACAATGAATATTGCATTTTTTTTCAACACACCAATGCACTTTTAATTTAGCGAGTCCAATAAAAGTTGTACATATTTACCATATTGCCACCGTATTGTTTGCTTTAAAATTTGTTCTGATCCTTCCATTTTATCAATGTAAAGGTCTAGATTAATTATTATTTTTCACCCAGGCATCAGTTTTTATTTTTTTTATTACCCAAATATAATAATGTTTTATTCCAAAAAATTATTTAATGTACTTCATTGTAATATGTATTATTCAAATGTCAATTTATTATAGATTCTATAGGTATATATTAATAGTTACTTACGGTCAAACGTTCGTCTAGGAGACCGCAAAAGTCAAACTGTGACTTTAACTGTGGGATAGAGGGAGTAAATTTTAGATAAACTATAGTAGTACAAATTTAAATAATTAAACTATACTTTAGTCTGGTTAATTCCAAACTTCTAGTGAACTAGCAAATACTGTGAAAGTGTGAAGGGAATAATCAAATTATCAAAGTAATGATGTAAATGTACATTTAAATAAGGAAAAAATAATTAAAATACCCTAAACTTTGAAGGGGTGTGAGGTAAGCACCCCAAACTTGCATATGTAATTTAAATATCCTAAACTTTATATAAAAAGTTACTTTAGCACCATGGCCATGCATTATTTCTTTCAAAAATGTTAATTTTTAGTGTTAATTTCATAATTTAAAATATTTTAGCATTCATGAAGATACAATTCACATTCTAAACTTCAATTGTAAAATAAATAATACTACCCCCACTCTATATAATTGGTGCATTTTTAATTTTTTATTCTAAATTATGCAATTAGCAATATGAATCTACATTTTTGAAAAAAATAATATACAACCATGGTGCTAAAATAACTTTTTATATAAAGTTTAGGGTATTTAAATTACATACAAAAGTTTGGGGTATTTATCTCACACCCCTTCAAAGTTTAGGGTATTTTAATTATTTTTCCCTTTAAATAATTAAATCATACTTCGGTCCGGTTTGATCCGTTACCGGTTCTCGTTTTATGAGAACCGGTCATGTCATTGTTTGGAACCGGTACGCTCTGATTCGGGACAAAAAATTTGAGATCCATTTCAAACCTCATTTTCGGTCCGGTACCATATCGGTTCGGTTTGGTACCAATGTACCATGCCGATTCGGTATTTTGTCCACACCTATTAAGAAACACAATTATTATAATTGATATTAAATCGATAAAAGGTAAATAAAGTATAGATGAATATTCACGATCTCAATATTAGGTAATACCATATGAAACAAACTGAGTGACGAATGAAAAAAACAAAATAGGACAAAGGTGTGATGTAGAATAGTAGCTTAATTATGAGCATATATTGTACAAATTACTCGATTCAGCTAGAGATATACTACCACCCAAACAAAGATTTGAAGGAAAAGGGAGCCCCATATTCATACCCTCCTCCACTCGGGTGCATTGGGGACGGGTAATAATAAGAGGGAGCGGGTGCATAAACGGGTGCATTGTAATAACCGAGTGGATTATCGATGGGGCCTTTTGTTGTTTTACTATCCGCCTGCTTCGGCTTGTCCTCTGCTTTCTTGGGACCCACAGACACAAATGTTGTCTTCTCGTAGGGTCGGGAGCCGTTCACCGTAGTCACCCTAAGCCTGACCAGGACTTGCCCCGGATTTGCGACGCCTGTCACTGTCAGCAGCCTCTTCTCAACGTCTATGGAGAGGGAATCCAATCCCTCAAGCCCCGCAACTATTTCCATGGCTGCTTGCATATATTTCTCTGCTTCTTCCGGTTCAAATTTCTCGTTTGCATCCAATTTCAGCACTACTTTCTGTATCTCACGTCAACCCAAATATGTGTCCGTTATTATGGGTGTCACTCCAATAATAAGAAGAAAACTTTTAGGCACAAGTGAGAAACTGAGAATGTAACTCAATTATGTTGTGCTACAAGAGCTTAATGTTGCACTCAAACCAGTGGCGGATCCAGAAGTTTGTTTTATTGGGGGCGAAGTGATTAAGTAATGCTCAAGAAGAATAAAAATTAATACAGTACTCTCTCCGTCCCGCTAAGATTGTTCTATCTTTTCTTTTCAATCCGTTCCACTAAGATTTTCTCATACTAAATTTGACAAAATTTGTGTGATTCTAAATCATTCATATTTTTTACTCTTATTTTATCAATTCAATATCAATCACACAACATCAGTATTAGTGGGGCGCAGGTAGTACTAATGTAATACTCCGTATTACAATAGCAAAAACTTTGGCAAAATACATCACAATTGTACGCACTTATTTACATCTTTTGGAAGAGATATATTATAATTTCATTTATTAAAAAACTCATTTATTACAACTTTACTTTTTTTCCTAATTTCATTTCTTTCATTATGTTATTTTGTCTAGAATAAAAGTGAATTTAGCATTAAATTTTGAGATATTAATTCATGTATACATTAATACATTTTATTGAACTACTCTTTTTTTATACATGAGAATAAAATTCTATTTAACTATCTAATACAGAGTAATAGTATAACGTATTGTTTACATTTTGGATTTTTAGTAGATGAAAAAATTTAGACTTTAATAGATGTATAACTTTAATAACTATTTTAGTAAATCATTAAATTAATTGAATAACAATAATCCTTAAAAAAATCAACAACTTTACAATTATAACATTTATATAAAAATCAATACTACGTATATGGCATTAAATCATACATACAGTCATATAGAGGACTTGTACAAGTACAAATTATCCCACACTTAAATTCATTCAATCCTTGGTCAATTCTCTAGACCTCAAGTGGGTTTGGTTGAAATTTGTTGATGCTCAAATCTAAAATTCAAATTTGCCCAACTTTGGGCTTTAGAGTTTAGGCTGCGGCGGCTGACTGGTTATAGGGGGCAGCCAGTTTTTTTATTGGGGTTAAAACCTTGAGCTTCTAATATTCACTAACAAATTACTAATAAATTATAGAAACTAATGGAAGTTTTTTGGGGGCAACTGCCCCCCCTTGTTGCTTGGTAGATCCGCCCCTGACTCAAACACAAAGTGTTTAATAAAATTGGTTTTGTCAAATATTAGCGCAACATGAAATTGTTTTTGTGTATGCATCATAAAAACTTAAATTCTGTTTTAGTCAACATTGTAAATTCAACGGTTGAATATCATTCACACCCCTCACAATATATGCATTTCTCACATGAAACATAATCCGTTTTTATATAAATTAAACATACTTCCTCCGTTCTTTTTTAGTTGCAATGGTCAACATTTCACACTTGCCAACGCACGTCTTTGACCGTAATTATATCTTAATCTCTATTAATAAAAAAAATAAAAATCAGATTTTGAAAATTTGTAATGAGATGAATTGAATAATATTTTTTTTAAAAATAATTTTCATTAAATAATAGCGTAAAATGTAGTCAACGTGTGAACAGTATAAAATTCAACATGTTGCGATAAAAAAACGGAGGATAGTAGAACCATTGTTTTAAAACTCACTAGGCGCTAGTCGGGCGGCTGAGGGGCGCCTAGCGCCTAGGCGGCTGACTAGGCCGATTTTTTGACCGACTGGGCCTCTACAGTTAGGGCCGCCTAGGCCGCCTAGGCCGATTAATCGGTCCGCCTAGGCCGATTTTTAGAACAATGAGTAGAACACATCATTACATAATTAATACGGAGTATTAGATAATTAATATATATAAAAATAAACAATTACCTAATACTTCTTAGCTTTTAAAATCATCATCATCATTATCATCATTGTAGTACCATGAGCTCTAAGTTAATTTGACAGTAATAACTACAAGATATCAGCGCTAAATTATTTATACTTTTATGCTTTTATAAATTTTAATCATTTGTTGTATTTTATTACCTTTTTAAAATTGGAGTTGCATCGTAATTTTGAGAATATATAAATTTGTTGCAATTTCTTTATTTGCATTATATTGTTGTACCATTTTTGTATTTTTATCTTTAAGTTTTCAAATTCTTGAGTTCGTAAGTACAAGTTGGAGCATAAAGTTAGCACGTCATTTAATTTTCATTCTTTCATTAGCAACCGTTACTTTAAACGGTAGCATTAGTGTTCCGGGCCTTCAGGCCTTCCGTGTCTATAATTGAAAGAAAGAAAGTCTATTTTTGAAAGGAACTTTAAAGAGTGATAAAATTGATATTTCTTTCAATTTATAGTCTATTTGTGAAAAATTCCCTTTAAAGATTGCTACAATGGGCTTTGCCACATTATATTATTTAGAGATATTACCCGAAATAGGACTAAAAAGGTTTGAAAATTCCAAAATAGAACTGTCATGTTTTTAATTCCCAAAATAGGACTAATTACTGTCATGTTTTGGCAGTACCAGACTTCAAACATGGCAGTATGTTCCAAACTTGACAGTAATTACTCTTATTTTGGGAATGAAAAACATGTCAGTCCTATTCTGGAATTTTCAAACTATTTTAGTCCTATTTCGGGAACTTTCCCTATTATTTAAGAAGAAAAGCAGTGTGAATCATAGTGTAGAAAAAGTAGGAGAAAACGTGTAAAAATATGATATGGAAGATACAAATAGTGAAAGTAAGGATAATTGAGTATTTTTTAAAGGGAAAATATACTAAAAATGAAAAAATGTAGCAAATTAAACTTTTAAATACATTTCAAAATGAAAAGCGTAACAAACTTAAAATACGGAAAATATTAGTTGTTTAAGTGCAAAAATTGAATATAATTAAGTTAGTACTACATCCGTCCCCAAAAAAGTTGTAAATTTGACTTTTCTTAGTCAAACAGTCTCGTTTTGTTCACTTAATTAGGATGTCAGTTTTTAATTATTTTCTAATTTGGGGTTTACAACTCTGAAGAGATTTTAATGTAATTTTTGAATATGTAAATTTTAATTATTAAAAATTAAATTAGTTATCCATAGAAAAGTTTGACTTTTATTATTGGTTGACAAAAAAATGTTGACTTTGCAAAACAAATTAGGACGGAGGTATGACTTAAGAAATTAATATTATCATTAATTATATGATTTATATCAATGTGCGTATGACATGCTGTATGCGTACCTTACTTTGATCATTTGCCTTCTTCTTCTCCTTCTCCACAGGTACAGATTTAGTGTCCACTTTCGTCCTTTTGACATTGTTTTGGTACCACGCACCTCCATTTTTGGTGACATGGTCCAGAATATTATCTGCAATTCCACTCAGCCCTGTAACTGTGAATATATTCTTTACTCTAGAGATGGATTTCACATCGGGATATTCGGCGATCACTTTCATCGCTTCTGCTAAACCAGTATCGCCCACACCTTCCTTAAAATCCAGCACCACAACCTGCATGCATGTACGGTGTTTGTAAAATTAAAAAAAAAAATTAAAACGTTTGTAAATTTTAAGATATGATTGTCATGTTTTTAATCCCTAAATATCGGTAATTGAAATTAAAAAAATAGAAGTACTTACTAGCACATTTTGAAATATTACCAGACTTTAAATATGTTAATGTTTTCTCAAGGTTGACAATTGTTACCAGGACCGGAACCTGGCCTTCTGGGGGGCGGGGGTTGATATGCACTAATTAGTAGTGCATAAGTGTGTGTTTTATGTTTGATTTGTGTGGATTGTTTACCATTTTATTTAGTTTGTAAACATTTGTGTGATTTTAGTTGTAATTGTATTTTAGTTCTCATTTGTAAGTTGTAAAGTAGAGTTAGGATTTATGGTGTTGGAAAGGAAGACTTTGAAGTGAAGATTATTGGGTGAGGTATTGCACCCGGTTGGGTGAGACTTGAAATACGAAACTGCTCAGGAAATTACATCACCCGGTCGGCTCAGGAAATTACATCACCCGGTCGGGTGAGGTATTTCACCCGGTCGGGTCAGATTTGACCCGGGACAAAACGTCGTGCTGAAACACAAGAACGTGGAAGATTATTTGATTTTGACATGCACCCGGTCGGGTGGGCACTTGACCCGGTCGGGTACCCGGCCCAAGGTGCTGAAAAACACCTATAAATAGCACACTTTTCCTTCACAAATAAATATCCCTTCTTCCATACTCTTAAGCTTAGTTTAGAATAGTATTTCTTTTATATTTTTATAGCATGTTTAGTCTCCAAATGAGGAGCTAAACTTCCATTTCTTGGTGTTGCTCTTGAAGCTTGTTGATTATTAAAGTTGTGAGTTATTTTCTTATCTTCTTCCCTTGAATATTAATTATTCTCTTAATCTATCTATATATTAATGTTGGGGATTGTTGCTAAGATGACAATTAGTTAACATCTCGACATTAATTGTGGTAGTATTTATTTTCTTCCTCTAAATATTAATGTTGGGGAGTGTTGCTAAGATGACAATTAGATAACATCTTGACATTAGTTATAGTAGGATTATTCATATTTAATCTTCTTCCTTGAATATTAGATCTTCCCTTAATCTATCTCTATATTAATGTTGGAGAGTGTTGCTAAGATGACAATTAGTTAACATCTCGACATTAATTACTACTAGAAACGATCAACGAACCGATGGTTAATCGTTGATGGCTTCACAAGTAAGTAACTTCGGTTTATTAATGCACGGTCGTGGTTAATAAACTTAAGAGGGATTAATTTTGTTGGTTAAACCGAAGTCGTTTTGTTGAGGTTATCAATCTCAATTGATTTCATCAAGGAGTTAAGAGATTAAATGCTACTATTAAGTCGGTAAATGGCGGTGTTCTATACTTGACTAATAGTAAGGGTTATTAATGAACGGTCGTTGTTAATAGCTACCCTCGATGAATTGGATATACTCCTCGATTGAGTATTCGAGAGGGAATAAGTTATAGATATAACAATGATCGACTAAAATATATCAACAAGTGGAAAGTAGCAATGCCAAGTCCTTTTTTATCTTTGAATTAAATCACATATAAGTTGTTCATCTTTGTGTTTAATCAAATTAAATCACTCAATCCTAAAACCCCCCTTTTTATTTACTAGTTTTATAAAAAGAGAATTATTTCCTTTTCCTGTGGATACGAACTCTACTACGCTATACTACGTATAAGTGTTAGTATTGAATTTATTTTGACGCACCGTGACAAAGTGCAACGTCAGGGGTTCAGGCCCGAAAAAATAGAAAAAAATAGGCCCAATTTCTTTTCTTTACACATAGTGTGAGTAGTTTTTTTTTATTCTTACGTTCAATCTCTGTTCTAAAAATCGTTAGACTAGTCCCCGCCTAGGCGCTAGGCGGTGGTCGGGCGCCACGATTTTCATCTAGGCGCTCCGACTAATTGGTTTGTCATCTAGATGAATTAGTCCCCGCCTAGGCCGTCTAGATTCGCCGAACATTACCTTACTTTTCAATTTTTATTTTCTAAGCGATATAAGTACTTTAACTCTACATGGATATAAAATAATGAAGTTGTAAATTAAGATATAGACTATATATGTTTGTATATACACCTAAATTTTATTATTATTTATATTTATAACATAATGAAGTTAACTGTTTAGTTATCATATACTACATATGATTAAATGTGATAATTCTATCATTCATGTTTCTTAATGTATGTGTATATGTGTATTTTATTCACACAAGAATACAATATTACTTATCATATTTATGCAAAAATATAGATAAAAATGCAATTTCTATATATGTTCCGACTAGTCCCCAACTAGGCGCCCGCCTAGCCGCCTAGGCGCTATGCGCTGGGCTAGCGCCCAACTAGCGCCTTTTAGAACATTGCGTTCAATTAATTAGGCCTAGTCCTAGACTCGGGCCGGGTGGCCCGACCCGGAACCGGCCCGGGACCGGTACTGTGCTGAACCGGCCCGACCCGGTGGCCCGGCCAGTGACCGGTCCAGGTAGGCCTGGACCGGGGGTTCCCGGTGTGGCTCGGGTCAACCAAAAGCCGAACCGGCCCGGCCGGTTCAGGACCGGTTCCGGGGTTTTCAATTTTTTTTTTCAATTTTTTTAACTTTTCGGGTTGGGCTGGGGCCAGACCCGAAATATTTCAGGCCCAGGTAGCCACCAGATCCGGGCCCGAATCAGTGGCTACCCGGGCCGGTCCCAGGCCCACCTATCCAGAACCGGCGGCCCGGACCCGACCCGGCCCGAGTCCACCACTGATTAGGCCTATGTTCAATTTTGTTGACAATTTGAAATTTTAAAAAAATAAATAACAAGTCTTAAACAAAGCCAAGTTTAAAGAAGAATAAACACACTAACTTTAAGTAGGCCGGTTGTAGTTTTTAAAAGAAATACAATTGTTGTTAGATCAATAAAAGGTATGCCTTTTCAGTTTTCAGTCTTCACATCTCTTTAAAGCTTTTCATTAATTTTAATATAACATAACAAATTTATATAATTATTTTAGATCATGTGGCTCTCAAATCACATCCCAAATATTTATTTGTTTCCAAATTTCAATAACTATATCCGAGTTCCTAATAGTACTTTTAGAGGACATCAAATTGACAGTCTTCTAATTGCACGGGTCTTCTTGACGGCCAAACATTTTGTCTATTTGAAAACCTTCATTCTTTCGAGGATTCAAACTTTAGACTCTCATCAGTGGTCAATAAATAATTATCAACTTATGAATTCAATATGTAATAATATTTCTTTTCATTTATCCTTTTAATCATAACTGAATTGAAAGAAAGTTTAGTGTTGTTCTATATGGCAATTTTATCGTTTGTCATATTATTAGTGGAAAGAAGGTTGCCTATGAAGCGATTATTGATGCTTTGCTGCACAATTTTCTATGAGAAACGTTTTTAAGTAATGTTTTTTCATTATTTTATTCAATACTCTTGTTGTTACTTTTTCCCAAACATGTAACTTAAATAATACGGAGTATTAAAGTGACTTTCACCTTTATTTTATGAACTTCATTAAATACTCCTATTTATAATTCATATTTCAAATAATTATGTAATTTAGGGGCTGTGTTGGATATAAGCCCAAAATAGCGTATCGCCTATAGGCCCAAAAATGAACACGACCGATTTTGATTGTTACCCCTATAAACGAATAAAACATGACAATTTATTTTAGAATTTTAACAGGTTTTTACTCCAATCTTATTTTTGGATTTTTTAGGGAAAAATGGTCATATATTTTCAGAAAACGCCTCTGCCCTCTAGCTATTTTCTTCGATCAACGAGGAGCAGTGGAGGAGCTAGGCGGGGGCATGAGGGGGCAAGCGCCCCCGCTTCGGCCCATTTTTTTTTACTAGCACTACTTATAATATATTTCATGCCCCCACTTCTTTGATATATGAGATTAGATGAAATGAAGCATTTCCCACCTTGCAAAGTATTGGTTACGTATCTAAGAAGATGGTTGAGCTTACAATTCACAAATATTTTCATTTGGTCTATTATCTTATAAAGTTGGCTCTAGTGTTATCAGTTGCAACAGCCACAGTTGAAAGAGCCTTCTGATCAACAATGAATATTATGATGACAAATCTTCATAATAAGATGAGAGATGATTATCTTACGGATTGTTTAGTATGCTACATCGAAAGAGATAATTTTCAAGCAATTGATAATGAAGCTATTATGTAGCCTTTTTCAAAATATGAAAACTCGAAGGATTGATTTGTCCAAGTTGGAAAAATGAATCAAGTAGTATGTATTATGTAATGCACTATAATTTTGTGCTAATTTATTACTCTATTGTTGTTCTTATTATATTTTGAACACGCACTTAAATTTTTTATTCTTCGATACCTCGGACAAACCTCTGGTTCTGCATCATCACTATATGTATTACTTCCTAGCTAGCTATAAGGAAAAGTTTAAACAACTACTTTTATTCAAAGCAAGAATTAAACGATCGCGAGCTAGCAAAAGTTTTAGTGCACATGACTCATATATATTCAAAAAAAATCAACATGACTTATATTTTAATTCGCAACCATTGATTTATTGCACAATGATAAGAAATTGTTCAATATAAGAGTAAAATAGAGACTAAGTGTACAAACAATTACAAGACTAGTACAGTTACGTTATTTTGTATAGGGTGTAGGTCAAATAAAAATGTCATTAATGTGTGGAAAGTGCGAAATACACTTATAATCACCGTTGATTGCTGCATTTGTATGGTAAGCTACTGCAATTTAAGTAGTTGTAAAAAATAATTTTACAATTTTATAAATAGTGAACTTTGTTACAAACGTTAAAAGGTGTACAACATGAACATAAAAGTGCACCGTAGTGCTATAAAAGTGAATATTTCGCATTTTATATATGTTTTATAAATTCATGAAACAATTAAGTGTGATTTGATTTAGTCTTAATAAAAACATTCAAATCCCTCTTTGATTA